AGAGGCCCGGCGGGACTCACCGGCGGCGGCGAGACGCTGCGCTCCGGTCCCCAGCCCGCTCGCCGGCACCGCCGGGACGTGAGCAGCGTGAGCAGCCCCACGGCGCGGTGACAGGCCCGGCCGCCGCTGCCGCGCAGGCGCCGGCTCGGCAGGCGGGACCGCAGCGCCCGCTCCGCGCCCGCCCCCCGCCCGTCCGGCCCCGTGGGCAGGGCCGGGGACGCGGAGCCGGGACTGCGGGACGCGGAGCCGGGACTGCGGGGGCGCCGGAAGGGACGAGGCGGTCGGAGCCGCCGCGTGTGTCGGTTCCTGCCGTTGGGCTGCGAGGAGGCGGAGCGAGGAGCTGACGGCAAACATGAGATGGACGAGGGGCCCGCGGAGCGAGGGGTGCCGGAGTGACGCCGCCGTGCTGCCGGGGTGTCCGCCGGAGCGCAGGGCTGGGCGCGGGTGTTCGCTCCGGTGACTGCAGCTGGGCTCGTTCTTGGCCTGGCAACAAGGGAGCGATGTAAAGCAGATCTTCGCTGTGCTACATCAGTGTTTTTAAACTGAGAATTAAAAAAACTGGAGTACGTTCTGGGGCAAAGCGCTCCCTGAGAAGAGGTCCTCGCGTGGCGCGTTCCTCCTGCTCCAGAGGGTTGGGCGCGTGTTGCTGTTCCTTGTGCGTGATCTGCAGAAGCCTCTGCTTGATCTCTGAGGGCACGAAAAGAATGAGATCAGTGAGTGGGAAGGAACTGGATCCGCCTGGGAGTTGCAGGAACAAAGCGTTCTTCATACTCCAATTACCTGTCATTAAGTTCTGAGAGCGCAGGATCCCTCCCCGAGGGCGGTCGCGGTGGCGGTGCTGCAGCGTGAGGCGGCGGTGCGATCACCAGCCCTGCTCAGGGAGCAGGGTGGGTTTGGGGGTTTGCTGTGTCCCTCCCGCAGAAATAAATGCAGTTTTCCGAATTCTGCATTCCGGTTACCAGCTTTCCTGAGCATACCCAAGGTGGGCATGGTAAAACTTTTTTTTTCCACTGAACACTTATCTCTAGTGAGCCACTAAAGAGAAGTTTACTCTTTTCTTCCCCCCCCCCCCCCCCCCCCCCCAGTATTTTGCTTAGTTCTGGGAGGAAAATCCATTGCAATTTATGTCATTGGACCGGGCTGGGAATCCAAATTCCTTATTTAGTAGCCTCTTTATAGTAGTTTTGGGATCCACCTTTATTTAGGTCAGGAAGTGAAAAAAGGTCAGGACCAGGCATATTTCACAGCAAGTGATTTTGCAAACTGGGGCTGAGGGAGGGTCTGTGTTTGGTGTCCTTTTGTCCTGTAATAGAAAGCATTTAACAAAATCTCAACACACGAGATGTCTTGGTCCAGCCAACACTCCTTTGTGTATGTAAATAGGTGAGATTTTACAGGACTTCTCAGGATTTGTGGTTGTAGGTTTATCACTAAATATCAAAACCAGAAATACTAAATTCATACATAGAGAAAATGAGACGGCTGCATGGCTGACAGGCTAAAAGATGCAGCACTTTTCAGGGCAACAAATCCCTAGTTTTGCTATTTAAAGGAGAAATGTGAGTGATTCCCCTTTTGCCATTCTGCATTTAGGAACAGAAGGTTGGCAGGAGCTGTGACACAGCAAATGGAGGAAAACATTCAGTTCATTACCTTCTAAACTTCCTTTTCCCCTTATTTGTGAGCTCACCGGAACAGTAACCATGAATTTTAAACACAGTGGATTTTAAATACTGTCATTCATTGTGCAGTGTGTCCTCTGACCAGCGTGTGGGGATATGCCCATGTACTTGAAGAGAACATTATATGCCCAATACAGCTTTTACACAGAAAAGTCACTTGATGTAACTGGCTTAATGCATTAACTAAAAAGTATATAAAGCATGAAACAACATACAGTGTTGCACAGATGTCAGCTTCCTTCTGTAATAGACACAGCTATTTTATTTACAAGAATTATTTTAATCCTAAAATCAAATTATTGTAAATTGCATAATTCAAATGTGTCTTCAAATAAAGTATAAGCCATATTTTTATTCCACTTATCACCTACTTTAGCAGATTTTCTTTTCTGTGCCAGAGAAGCCATACCTGCCTTACTGCCTTGAGGGAGCACCTTCCTTCTTGGGGCAAAAGACACACAGGCAGTGGGGTGAAGAGAGTACATGTTCTGATGCCCCAGAACTGCTTGGGCTCCCTGGCACTCGGTACAACCCACCCTACATCCACTGGCACTAAACTTGCCCAAATGGGGTCCTGTAGTTGCAGTCACAAGAACCATGGGCTCGTTGCACCTCAAAATTCCTGCTGTCCATTGTAGTACTTGCCAAAGAACTCAGACATGCAAAATCCAGGGAAAAGAAGAAATGTAAATCTGGTTAACTTCAGGGATGGGATTTATTTCCTTCCAGCACAGAGGGTTTCCTATTACCATTGCACAGTCTTCTTATTGATGGTCACAACAAGCAGGAAACTATTTTCAGTTGCCCTGCCATTATTAAAATAGCAATGCTTGGCTACTGCCTGGTGATTGCTGTCAGCACAGTTGGGGTTTTTAAATTGTACCTCAGTTAATCCCCCACTGAGATAACACAAAAATGGGGGGAAATCATATATAGGGTTAACTAATGTATACTTTATGCTTAATTACTATAAAATATCTTTCAGTTAATATCCATGTTTCTGTAAGCTACAGTGTTACAAAACAAAACTGTATAGCTAATAACAGAGATGGACTCTGCTATCTGCCTCCATATTCTCCTGGCAACAGTCAGAACATACTTAATAAACTTTAATTCCACATTTCAAAACCCTTTGCTTTATACTTTGATGTGTCACAGACTACAGAAAATAGAAATGGGTGTCCAGAACAGCTGATAACAGGAAATTAGAGATGTCAGCATTTTGCTGTGAGAAATTACCAACCTTTGTGTGAAGCCTTTGTGTAGAATATTCTTGATTAAGACAAAGAAAAGGCTTTAAAATGCAAATAGCCTTACAAACAAGGGACAGTCAAACCCTTTTATGCCGTTTCAGTTTTACATTTCATCCTTATATTCTTCACATTATCAACATTGGACATTAGTAACTAAAGGTGCCTATGAAAACAGACAGACTTAACACACACACAGAGTACATGTTTTATAGTCTCTGCTACTTTACAGCTGAGTGTGTTTTATTTCTCTGCCCACCCTGCTCACGAACAATTCTGGTTAGCTCAAATGCAAATGTGCTTACCAAAGGCCAGTTATTTATTAACTGATGGCAATATGGTGAAACAACCTGAACAGTTTTTGACCTGTTTGTGAAGGTAAACCACTATATAAATATTAAATTGACAATACTGCAAGTTCTGCAGCTAACTCGAGGCCTCTAATAAAGGAAGCTGGTTCAGGGTAAGAGGAGTCATACCTTCAAATTAAGATAAGCAAAACCAAAAGCCTGCAACACCCCATTCCCCTCATCCTCTCAGGCCCCAAAATATAGCTGAGGTAGCCAAAGGAATGCTATGCATAGGATGACAACGCAAAGAAAACGAAAAAGCAGTGAAGGACAAGGATGAATCCTGGACACAAAGTCTGTAATGAAGGAAACCAGCTGACCTTTGTGCTGGGTATGAAGCTTTTGTGCTCATGAACTCTTACGTGGGTTCAATGTCCCCAGGCCCACACAAATCACAGCTGGCACTGAGTGACTACCCCACAGCCAGCATGGCAGAAGCCACACAAGTGCCCAGGCACCTGCAGGTTGGGGCTGACGATGCTGAACATTTTTGAGCATCCTACACAGAGGGTTGGGAGTGCAGCCTCTTCCCACATGTGCCATATTTTCTTCCTGTTGAAGTGATGTTTTGCACTATTACATTAATTTCTCTGTTATAAATAGATCAGAAGGCCAGGTGCTAACCGAACACCAGGGAATTCCTGTGTAATCTTTTGGGTTGTTTGGCTTAAGAGCCGGACACTAGTGCTGCTGAGACACCAGTTCCCTTGTCATTTAAGTGGGCTTTCGGTCAGGCCAAAACTCAGCTTTGCTTTTTAAGATGCAATTTTACAGGAATTCAATATCAATAACTGAGCCAGTTCTGCCCCACAGAGAGCAATTTGGGAACACACTGAACCTCAGCTTATAAAATAGCAGCTCCAAGTGGTGCCACATGCTGCTGATTCTGACATGACACTGTGTCTTTGCACGGCAGCATGATGAAGCACCCTAAAATTAGCCTTCTTACTATTTCGTGAAGAGCCGGCAGAAAGGTAGCAGCCTGCACTGAGGAGAACAAAGAGGCACAGGACAGGACCAGAACTGAGGCTCACACACAGCCTGGTCACAACACTTCATGGTGAGCACTCTTGTCTTCTTTGCAGATTTCCATATTGGATTGTTTAGCATAATTTCTTAACTCAAGACCAGGCTGACCTGACTGTGAAGGAAGAAAGGTGCTGGTGTAAACAGAGGTAGGGAGGAGGGATCTGTTCTTCCAGGGGGCTTGGGATTCAGAGGAAAGAAAAACTAACTGTGAAAATTACGTAGATGGTCTCTTTTCTTAGGGGTATGGTAGGAGCTGGTACTTAATTCACAGAATTAAGTTTGTTGTTACTGGAATAGAACTGGGAGTGGAAGAAAAAAAAAAAGTGCTGATATGGAAATCAGAAACACCACAATAAAGCCCCCTTCTGTTGAGTCAGACTAATTTTTTTCCTGATGTTCAGTTCTATCTCTACCCCATTTATTGGGTGATAAAGTCCTTAGCTTTACAAGGAGTGAGATTTGAGAGAAAAAACAAACAAACAAACAAACAAAAACACTTCCAGGCAATAGGAAGATAGGCATGAATGTGCTTGGGTATGGGAACAGAAACAGTGAAGGAAAACATCCCAGACTGGAGTAACACTTGCAGATGAGGAGAAAAAAGAAACTGTAAGGAAACATTTGAATATCAGAGGGCACAACTGGCATGCCATGAAAGGGATGTCAGGACTGATTGCTAGGAGGGAAGGAGGCACAGCACACATCTCTAGGAAGTAGAGGACCCTGCCATCAGCTCGGTGTAACAGCCTGTGGCCCTGTGCCTAAACAACTGGGAGTACAAGCTGTTTTCTCTATTCCTGCGATAGGACTCTGTGAAGTCCTATTTTCCTGGAAGAAAATAGGCCGGGAAGAAAATAACACTGAGGCATAAACTGTGACTGGTACATTCAAACTACATACAGCTGTTACTGCTATTAGTTATTGCTCAAAATTACAGGACTATTTTACAACAGATATTTTTGTTCAGTAAAGATGATTGGACAGTACTCTGCAGCTTTTGTGATTTATTTCAGGAGAAGACTCATGATTTCATATGTATTACTGAAACCCAGGGGGGTATGATATGATAAGATCTATTTTGGTGCAGTTAGCAAACGATACTTTGTAGAGCACAGACTGAAATGTGGTGTCAATGTGGTGGTGAATCATTTGAATCAACTACAGTACAGGACATCTCTGTTCAAAAGGTGGATTAAATATTCACAGTGGTCAAAGACTCCTGGACAGAAGGAAAATTAGATTTCTCTTGCAGAGGTTGTTAAGAAGCTCCACAGAAATTATATGTGAGCAGACAGAGCTTGGAGTCCTTGGAGGATTGTAATTCTTAATTTCCTATGACATAAGTCTCACTCTTGTCATTAGAATAGAAGATTTTAAAAAATAATATCTCGTTTTGGAGACAGAAGGTAAGTGAGCTGTTTGAGTTGAGCAGTCAAATCCTCATAACTGTGAAAAATGGAATCACTGCTGGTACCTACACACAATTCTGATGGAGAGAAACCTGGTAACTTCTTGTGTTCCCAGAGATCTCCTAAAGCCAGTATTTACTAATCTCACATTTCAGAAAGAAAAATTGCCACAAATTTGTAATCTCTTGTTTCTGTTTCCTGATACTGGAGTGGTGCAAAACTGCTGACACTTTTGTTGTTGATTTTTTACTGTGAGTGATTTAGATGGTCTTATTTCACCTCAGGAGACTTTGGGTGAACGTTTTTGGGATAGCATTTCTTTGTTTACTTGGTCCACCAGCGTACAACAAACTGCTCCCATTTAAAACTTCAAGCTTGAAAGGTGAAGCCAAAGCAACTGTGTATCATTTGGAAGCAGAAACAGTAGAGCAGCTGTATGTGCCAAGCCTCCACTGCATATAGCTGTCTTTTTTCCTGGGATAGAGAAGGAGATAGCAGTGATTCATCACCTATATCTGCCTGATGAAGGCTTTCTTGTCAGCAGTGTCAGCAAGTCACTAAGACAACACTAAATACGATCACTGATCCCAATCAGAAATGATCCTTTGAGGGATCCTAGATACTCCCCACTTTACACACATATATTTACTTTTATAAAAGGAGAATACAGGGCTATTTTCAGCTTCTGGGCAAGGTTCTAGAACAGCAAAATTACTCCTAAACATACATAGACATAAATTTCAGAGTAGTCCTAGGGCGTGGGTCCCTGGAGATTTAAGAGAGACTGTTCCTGAGACTGTCTCAGGAAAAGAAACAGCATTTCCAGAGTACCCAACTGAGCCAGCAGCTTCTGTTCACCCCATGACCCAGTGGAGGCATCCAAAACCAGACAGACTACCAGCAGAGAAATCAGCTTGAAAAAACAATTTCATCAGAAAACACACAAATTTTTTTAGCCAGCAGACTTGTACAAAAATATTGTGCCCAAATGCAGTAAAACTCTTGCAAATACAAACAATTCAATACAAACACTGTTATATGCTTCTATCTTGTAGCAAACTCAGCCAGGCGAACTGGCTCTTTAACAGACAGTATCAATATTACAAATTTAATTCCTCTGAGTATAAATTCAACTTCTTTTTGTTTAATAAAATGAAGGAAACGAATGCTTATTTGTCTTCTGAAGAAGTCGTTGCTTTGTAATAAACAGCATTGGGATTAAAAATTACTTTTCTGAGAGGCAAATGACATGTGATCTTTATAATTTTTCCTGACCTCTTGCTCAAGTTTGAGCCTCTAAATAGCTCATCACCATTATAAA